GTAAAGAAGAAACAGGTTTGCATACTGTGACTTCTGGGATCACTTATAGGGTACCATGTCCTTGGCAAGAACACTCCTGGAACGGTTTCTTTCCACCAGGATCGCTCATCACATGCAGTGTCCACCACCCACTCACACAGGTGCTACTTCTACCATACAGGCGTGTACGTTCCACTCACCACCTAACCACTTGTCTGCAGCTGCCAATACTGCATTTCTCTGGTTCCTGTAGAAATCAATAACCCTGGAAGAAGAAAACAATGAAAAGGATGTACTCAACACATTGATTGCAGGAACAAAAAAGGCTCTGGAGTCCAGCCTGTAAGAATTTGTTTTTTATCTTGATTAAAATGTTGAATACTTGATAAGAGAACAGAGTATACGTGCTTGACTTATCACCTGGTGATGAAACTTTTTATTGCTGTCTTTCTTCATTTATTGTGGAATAATTCAAAAAGTGAAACTTGATAAAGGAAAGTCCATTTCCATGTAAAATATGGAACCTAGAAGTAGGGGATGTAGCAGGATCAATCTTTGTGCTTAGTTATCTGAAACAATGGTTATCACCTGCACGGTAGGAGAACACTCAGGATCAAAGAAAACACCACTGATGTGATGAGTCACTGGTGTGGGAATGAGGATACCCCATCTCTCCTTGTTTCTGAATGGCCTAGGAGGTACCACATTTACATAACTAAAATAACTCATCACTTGCACCAATATACTCATTATGTAGGCAAATTATGTTTTCAGTCACCTGTGCTTGGGCCAAATCCTGTGTCATGTGTCCCTCATGGTTGATTATTAAATAAAATATTTATGTGTATGCATAGTTCACCCTCTCAATCAGTTAAATCGGGGAATGCCAACCTGGTGGGAATTCTCGATTGCTCTGAGTGTGGGCGGACTGCTTTCAAGCCATCCCCGGGATGCTCCTGAAAAGACTTTGTAGGTGAAGAGCTAATAAAATGAGTAGACTTTTGACTTCTGATAGACTATTCCTCTTGTGTATCTTAGGGTTAGGAAGGAAGAATAAACAACCAACATTCTGGGTGATCTGTACTACGTCTGCTGGGCTCCTATTTTGTTCATAGATGTTTTAATAAGTGACTCGATACCTGTGTACGTGAGCCAGGAAGCCCTCTTCTCCCCACTGGTGTAGCAGCTGTGATATCATGAGCTAAAGTAAATAAAACAATAATGAAAGTCATGGTTCATACCCTAAAAATGTGATGTTTGCTAAAGGAAAAAGCAAAACACTCTTGATTACATGTAAACCGCCATGAACATCTGATAAGCTGAACCTAGCTTATACAGTCAGTGGTTTATAATAAATCAGGAAGGAAAACAATGATTCACTAAACAGGTTTGGAATTCTTGCTGTCCATCTATTTTTTATTCTGATCTGATTAAAAACGCCTATTTCCTAAATTGTCCTTACCTGGTTAAAAGTGCTGGGGTGCAATGTTGACACTTGTGTGTGAAGAACAACTCTCTCTATCAAGGGTTTTGGACCAGTGAGAAACCCTATTCTCAACCTACACAGAAAGAGAAAATGCAACAATTATTACATATCCCTTTCCTGCTTTCATTAGGAAGAGAGTTGTGCCCTGGGGACAAATGGATCTAGACACTTAAACAAACTAATAGAGCTAACTAATTCTTATTTCCAATACAAATTTAAATAGAGGAGTACATTTAAAACAAGTCTGACCGCGTATTTCCAAATGTGCTCTCTCACATACGATACCAAAAGCCCGACCAGTCCCACTGCAACTTTAGATTAATGGCCAAGTGTGTTTGGCCACTGGAGATCAATAAAGAGACAAAAGGCCTATAATAATTGTAATAACCAAACTAGTGTTTTACAGCAAGTGGAATACAAGCATCTTCAGTGAAAAGAATTGTGTGGACTAAAAGACACTGAGGTACAGTGTCCGGCTTATTTAGATTGAGCCTCACGGTAGAGACATGGGCCTTACCCAGCAGAAAGGACCTTTGAAAAAGAGTCGGCTCTGATGACACGCCCGTCAACATCCATGGAAAGAAAGGTTGGTGCCCAGGGCTTAAAATGAAAAAACAAACAAAAACACAGCTGTTGGTTTGAGAACTCTGTGTCAGTCACTGTATGATTACTCTGCAGAGAGTGGACAGGGCATGTTTTTGGATGACGAAAGCACAAGTATTCTCTCACCTTTATTTCAGCCCTTTAACATGGGACAGGAACAGAGATGCATATTCTTTCATAAGCACCTGCCTGTCTTCATGGCTTTTCTGCCAAAGACACACACAAGGCTTCCACATTTGCTCCAGATGCCATTATTATACAGTTGGAGAAACCTCAAACAGGCCCTCCTTGCCACAAAGGTTGAAACCCAGGATTAACAGACTTAAAGGAAGAAGTCAGGAAAGGCAAGTTTGCACAAGACCAAAATGTGGACGGCCAGGAGCATTCACAATTGCGCAGGGAGAGACGCTGATCCTTAGAACCAACCGGAAAGATAAGATGAGAATGAAGACGAGAAATGGCATCAACAGGATGTACTGACTTCAATATTTACTTCAAAAGGCGGTACGAATGAGAAGTGGGGTTATAGGCACAGTGAGAGTAGGAGTGTGAGTAGAAAGAAGTGATGTTCTGGCAAATCGTACAGAGATATCAAGTTTCAGGCCGGGAGTGGTGGCTCACAGCTGTAATCCTGACAACTGTGGGAGGCTGAGGCGAGAGGATCACTAGATCCCAGGAGTTGGAGAACAGCCTGAGCAACAGAGTCAGACCCTGTCTCTACAAAAAAATAAAAAGTTAGCTGGGTGTGGTGGTGCACACCTGTAGTCCCAGCTACTCGGGAAGCTGAGGTAGGAGGATAGCTTGAGCCCACGAGTTTGAGGTTGCTGTGAGCTATGATGATGCCACTGTATTCCAGCCTGGGTGACAGAGTGAGGCTGTGTTTCAAAAAAACAAAGTTTTTGTTTCTTCTCTGTATATTTAAACGGGGAACTGAATGCAAGCGTATGTTCTCTGCAGCCCTGAGAACAAAGAAAGTGGTGGATTTTGAGGAATTGTCTTACTGCTACTATTGTCTGTTAGAACACAGTAATCAGGAAAAGTTGCATATATATCTATAAAATGCAGCGAAAGTGAATCTAAAAGCCCATTATGTTGCAGGTAAGATCCAGGACATAAATGACAGGGTGACAAGTATGTGGCATGCTGCCTGTGATGCCTCCTCCTGTGTCTAAAATGGACATTATTGAGCACGGCCTCTTCCTGCTTCAGCTTATTTGTTCAAAATACGAAAGTGGTACAAATGTTTTTGACATATGGATACCTTGTATAATGCTTAAGTCAGGACTTTTGCGGTGCCTGCCACCAGAACAGTATTCACTGTACACAATAGGTAAGATTTTGTTCCAAACCCTCCACCCTACCGCCTGCCTTCTGGTTTCCCATGTCCTTTATACCTCTTCGTGCCCATGTGTACCCAACATTTTGCTCCCACTTATCAGTAAGGACACACGGTGTTTGGTTTTCCACTCCTGAAATATTTCACTCAGGATAATGGTCTCTAGTTCTATCCCAGTTTTGCTGCAAACAACATTATTTCATTGCTTTTCATGGCTGAGAATATATATACCACATTTTCTTCATCCACTTATGAACTGATGGGCACACAGGCTGATTCCACATTGTTGCAGTTGTGAATTACACTGCAATAAACATTTAAGCGCAGGTGTCTTTTTCTATGAAATGACTTCTTTACCTTTGGGTAGATACCAAGCAGAGGGATTGCTATAGTTCTTTGAGAAATCTCCACACTGTTTTCCATAGAGGTTGTACTAATATGCATTCCTACCAACAATGTATAAGGTTCCTTTCTCTCTGCATCCGTGCCAGCATCTACTGTTTAATAACTTTTTAATAATGGCCATTCTCATAAAGGTAAGGTGGTATCTCATTGTAGTGTTAATTTGCATTTACCTGATGATTAGTGATGCTGAGCATTTTTTCACGTTTCTTGGCCATTTGTCTACCTTTTTCTGAAAAATTTCTATTCATGTCTTTTGCCCACTTTTTAATGGAGTTGTTTTTTTCTTACTGATTTGTTTGAGTCCTTTGTGGATTCTGGACATTAGCCCTTTATCAGATGTGTATATACAGTTTTCAAATATTTTCTCCCATTCTGTAGGTTGTCTGTTGATATTTCCTTTGCTGTACAGAAGCCTTTTAAGTTCGTCAAGTCCCATTTATTTATTTTTGTTGTTGCTGTAATTGCCTTTGGGGTAGCTACTATTTTGGGGATAAGTAATTTCTGGAAAAAGCAGCAATACCAAAAATGCAAAGTATTAATCCCATGATAAAAGTGGAAGAATGAAATGGAAGTGGTAGCAAATCAATCTTAATTGATTTAGTTTCAATGTAAGAGTGGATTAGCTCTGACTCAGCAGCCAGGCTAGTATACAGTGCAGCGCAGTAACGTTCAACGACGTATCTTCTAATAGTGACATGAGTTCACATCATCGCTTACCTTGTCAAACTGGAGAAAATAGTACGGATCATCTTCTATTATGAGGAAATCATATTTTCTTGCAAGCTAAAAAAGGTTAAAGCAATATATTTATTTCTTAAAGTAATATATTTCTTAAGAGCTATCCAAAGTTCAAGTTGTTTGGAATCATAATTCTTTAACAGTATCATAATTGTACTCATTCACTGATTCAAGAATTAGGCTCTCCCGTCCTAGACCGTGAGGATAAAGAGGTGAACACGGCGCTAAGGCCCTTGTTCTCACGGAACTTACCACTCTAGTGGGAAAGACAGAATAGACAGAAGCCAGTGGACACTGAGCAGAAGAAATATTAAGTGGGTGGATAAAGTGCTGGGGGGTGCACTACAACAGGTGACATTTGAGAGAGACAGTGGGAGGGTGGCTATTTCAGGTTGAATCTCTGGGAAGCCCTTCCTGACCAGGCAATACCAGAGCTCAAAATGACAGAACGATTCAGCCGTGCAAATACCAGGGAAGAGAAACCTAGACTCAGAGACGAGGGAGGGCAAAGGCTCTTGGGTGAGCAAACAGCTTGGCACGTTTAAGGGCTAGAAAGGCCAGTGTGGCTGCCCCAAGTGCGCTGCAGAAAGAAGAATACGAGATCAGGCCTGAGAACAGACTGACCATGTCACACAGCTCTGCGGGGCAGATAAAGGAATGTGGACTTTATTTAAACTGCAAGGGGAAGCCACTGGAAGGCTGTAAACAGAACCATGAGCCTGGCCGTACACTGACATTTCAACAGGGGAGGGACGTGGCTGGTTATGGACCAGGATGAAATGCAGCAGGGTGGAGTGGGCACAGTGTTGTAGGAGTCCAGTGAGGGCGAGTGGCAGCTTAGAAGATGGGGACAGTGACGGGGGTGGAGAAAATTATGGATTTGGATAACCTGGTAGTTGAGTCCACAGGGGGCACTAGACGTGGGGGTGGGGGGGCGGAGAGAAGGGAAAGAGAGGAGTACAGGGGAGCTCCTCATGCTCGCACTGTTTGTGGGGTCGGGGAATGTGAGGGGTGTGGATTAGAGGTTTGGGTGGGCCATGTTAAACTTGAAATGCCTATCAGACATCTGTGTGGAGGTATCAAGTAGAAAGTTGGCTACAGAAGTCTGGAGCTCAGGGAAGAGGACTAGGCAGGGACCAGGCAACATGGCAGTCATCACTTACAGAACTCGGCCAGCTGTCTAGGGCAGGTATGTAAACAGAGAACTCAGGACAGAGCCCAGGAGGGTATAAAAAATAAGAATAAGACAATATTTTGAACCTATAAATTTTCCAAGTAACAAGAACTGGTTGAAATCTTCCTTGTGATCCTACTGCACATAAATAAATTCTATAAAGTTCAACAAGGGCTTGGTACTTATAAAGCTATTTGTAGTAAAAGGTTAAAGAGCATAGTTAGGTACATGAAAGAGGAGTTCCAAAAGGCACATTTCTCTTTTTTTCAAAGATTTCTGTAGAGCTCAATATATCTGTTACTTTAAACTAACGTTTATAATGAAGAGTGAGGCATCACAGACACCTCAAAGGGATTTTACAAAAGATCACGCCTCATATTTTTAAAGAATTCTTTGTAATCTGAATCACATGGAATAGGAAGAAGAGAAAAGTTAACAAGACAAATAAAAAATTATGAAAATCAAACTTGAGGTCAAATATTAACTAATTTCATAATTTAATACAAGCCCACTAATGCTATTTTTTTCTATTAAGTCATCGATTAAGGCAAAAGAAAAAAATCTCCTAATTAATGAAAGTGGTATTCATTTATTACGGCTAAACTGGCATAAATTTCTCTAGTAAGAGAGGGAACTTACACAGTACTCTTCAAAAAGTTAGCAAGAAACAGGAACAGAACTACATGAACACATTCTTTTAAAATACCTCATAGATATCCTTTTTGCGGTCACTTGTAAATGAGTTTCCAGAGGGGTTGTTGCCATTTGGGACAGTATAAAGAAATTTGGGGGTGTTTTTCTTGGGGTTCCTTGAATCTTCTGGCTTCCATTTGGAAAGTATTTCTCTGAGGGAGTCTGGAATAATCCCATGTTCATCACTGGCAACGCTTATGATGTTGCAGCCCAGGGGTTGCAGCTGTTGAGCACAAGAGCCAGACACGATTACAAAATATAAGGACCACTGTTTTTTTTTTTTGAATACTAAGCAAGAACGTGACTTTAAACATACCAACCTGCACTCAGCTCCAAGCTCCTAAGGGTTGAGATTATATATTTTAATTCTGTTGTTCCCCGGGGTGGATTACATTATTGATCAAAAACAGCTCCTCTCCCTTCCCAGAGGAAGGACGACACTTCCTTACCCCAGTTATGTCAGGCTTGGCCGTGTGTCTGGCTCTGGCCAATACATTCTGGGCAGAAGTGTGATGTGTGCTCCTGCCAAGCAGAAGCTTTAACATCCAGCTGTGGATCTCTCTTTCCCTCTGCTCTAAGATTGGCAAGGCTCCAGACAGGGGCTGCTTCTGTCGACTTGGGGCTTGGAATGAAGATGTCGTGGGCAGAGCTGCAGCCGTCCCGTGGATGTGCAGTGTGGGAGAAATAAACCTTTGCAGCTGTAAGTTACAAATGAATGACTGTACTGGAGTCATTTGTTATGCAGCATGTGCTAGCCTATTCTGACTGAATTCTCTTTATAATTCTA